AATGTTTGATGATCAAACGATGGTTCATATCATTTTTGTTCACCGGATTATTATGTACTTATAGACTTGTGCCAGGTGGATAATCTTCTTTTGTAGGTCACATGGTACTTGTGATATTTTGAAAAAGTTATTTGAACAAATGTATCACTAGTTGCTGAATGTCTTTGACAATAAAAAAGAAAATAGTATTGAGGTTTGCAAAGTGGGGTAAAAAAAGAAATACCTCCTGGATATTGTTGGAGTTTTTTTTTTTACGAACTTGTTTTATGTTCTATTTTTCCATCTTGTATTGATCCATATATTTCTAATTGTTGCGGTAGTTTTATTGAATTTATTATATGCAACAGCACACATTTTGACTTTCTTTTCACTTGACTTTTTTTTTATTTCTTAGATCTTGGGACCATAGTACTGAACTGATTCAGTGGAACAACAGGTTTGGTCACTTTTCAATTTCCAAGAGTGAGGATTGCTGAATAGAAGTCTTTCTCTTGGAGCAACTATGGGGCAATGTTTTTTTTCATGATGTGCAGCATTTGATGTATTGTACCTGAGTGTTGTATATCCTTGGCTAGCATTAACATGTTGTCTGTGTATAATTTAGTTTGCCTGTTTGTTGTGGAGTGATTCTTGTTTCAAGTATCTATCACGTGATGTGGCTCCCTCCTGCATCTTGATTTGAAGAATGCTTGGTTGAGTGCTCTTTACTCAGTGAGACAATGTTATCAATGTAAATAGATGAATTAAGTCGCTTTGCTGCTTATAATGAAAACCAAGAAAAAAGTAATGTCAAGGAAGGTTACTCGAGTGCCTGCCAGTCCCAAATTTTGCGGACATCGTAAAAAGGTGTATCAACATGTCCCTGTGAAGGAAAAGGAAGCAACCGATCTGATTACGTCTTCTGCTAAAAAACAGAGAATTGGTAAGCGGTTTAGTACAATTTTTTCTATAACATTAACACTTCGGCTGTTTTCTTGGATTTGCGATCTCCTATTTATAAATTATGGTAAGTTATCACATTAATAGACATATGCTCATAGATTATGTATGTCTTCACTATCAAGTTCCAAATGTGAGCATGTATCCATTACCGGTTTTTCTAACATTTGCTACCATTCTTTTCTTGGAGAAATTCTAATACTATCATTCTTTCCAGTGCGGTTTTCAAATCGTCTTTGTTGCAAGGAAACTGGCCACACTAGCTTCATAGAGGATGGAAATGCTGATCGTGTTTTGTCTGAAGAAAAGGATCATGATTTACGAGTGGCGTTTAGTACAGTTGCTGGGGAGTCTATTGACCATCAGGTGAGTCAGATCATGTTTGAATAAATATAGTCAACTTTATTGCATGTAAAATCCGGAACATCTTTTTTTGTTTTTGGAATTTTAACTTGGGATCTTGTGAAAATATAACTTTGGACATCACATTATAGCATCCGCTACCTTGACAACCTCTGCCTAAAGCCCGTTCTCGTGACCCTAGTGAGTATGAGCCTGGTCTTGGTTTTCAATCAATGATTCTTTACATTCTTTGGAAATGGTAGTGGTTTATTGTTACTTATTATCTTCGAGGAATAATTTAGTCTCTTGGATAACTTTGATCTTTATTTAGATTTACTTATCAAATTATAATATGTATGAAGTCCTTACAAGTTTATTGTGAAATTTGAGACAACTTGTGTTGGTCTTATGTTTCTGCATTTTATGTTCAAAACTTATTTTAATCAATTAGGGGTGGCAACGAGTCGGGTATTAGTCGGGTCCAACTGGACCCGGACTTGGACCCGAAATTGACTGTATGTACCCGGATCCGTACCCAACGGGTACAAATTGAACCTACCTATACCCGACGGATAATTTTGGACCTGGACCCGTACTCAGACCTGACCCTAGACCACCTCTCTCTCTCTTTCTCTTGGTGCAGCCATCTTCCTCTCTCTCTCTATCTTGTTTTAGCCATCTTCATCTATAACTTTGTTCAGCCACTTTCATCTCTTTCTCTCTCTCTCTCTCTCTCTCTCTCTCTTTGAACGTTTCACCAAAACCATCAAAACACTAAACAACACCAAAACCAGAACCATGATAGACCTTCATTATCAGAACATCCACCTCCTCCTTCATAACTTGCTTTACTAGAACCTTCCAGATCAGGGAAGGCTTCCACCTCCGGTCGTCAATTTCTGATCTACAAGACTTCCACCTCTCGGTCGTCAATTTCTGATCTACAAGACTTCCACCTCTTGGTCGTCAATTTCCAATCTGAAAGGCTCTGGTCCGTTGGATTGGCCATGACCAAGGCAGAACAGGCACTTGATTGGTTAAAGAGAGTTTGCCAGTGCTGCGGATGAAGGAAAAGTAGAGAGAGAGTGATTCACCAAAGCTGCCAGGGCTACCAAAGATAGTGCATAAGTATCTCTTCTTTGGCTCTATAGATTTATAGGGTTCCCCTGTTTCTTTCGTCTCTTTCCCTTTGTCTTTCAACGACCAACATAGCCACCACCACAGGTTCCCCTTCCCTCCATAACGAGAACCACAAGTGCAGAGGTCTGTAATAGCGATTCAGGATTTGGTTTGGGTTAAGGACTTAGAGATAGGCGAGGCCATGAGGGTTTCAGAGAGGGATGCCAAGTCACGAGAGTTGCAGAGAGGGAGGCAAAGCTGCAAGGGTTTGGGGTTTGGCTGAAAAGTGGGAATGATCAAAGTTAGGGTTACGGATTTGTGTTGGGACTTAGTATTTTTTTATTATTTAAAAGTTCGGGTCTAGGTACCCGCCGGGTCTGGTATAGCCGTACCCGTACCCGGACCTGGACCCGGGACTGTTCGAGTATATAGTTTTGGATCCGGACCCTACTCGTGGGTCCAAAACTTGGACCCATATCCGGACCCGAGTCAGGTATACCGGCTGGGTCCGGGTCGGGTACGGGTCCATTGCCACCCCTATAATCAATGCCTTCCTCATCTAACTGTTCACATAGTTTTTCAGTTTTTCTGTTTGATTTTATTACTTGTGAATTTATTCACGTTTTCTGATGCCAAACCTGTATTGCTCCCTTTTTCTGTCGTTAGATTTTGTTTGGTGTAATAGTTCGTGATATTGAATTTTTTGCAGGATTTTCCACAAAGAAATGTTCAATGTGTTTTGGAGACAATATTTTCTCCTGGCTTTCACATGTCTGCAGATAATGGATGTAGCATTCCTCATAGAGGTTGGATAAGTGGTCTCTCTCAGAGTATTATTGACTTGCAATGTTTTTGCTTATTTCCATGATCCAATTTGTGCTTTATATGAAGTTGACATTTTCTCATAATAGTATTCATTGAAAATAGCCCCATGGATGGTTGCATGAATTCCAGACTGTTGTTTTGAAGATTTTGACTTCTGTATGGGCCGTATTGTGGGAGTGAAATAGTTTTTCAGATTATATTTTGCATGGGTGATCAATTTTGCATTTTCTACTATTCGTCATCTCTGATTTCTTTATTGTTCAATTTGGTTTTCTGCAGTGTATTGAGTTCCTATATTTGTAATATTTGTGCTTCTTGATACATCTAGGTGGAAATTGTTTTTTTGCATTTTCATGTGTTCTTATTGTTGGTCTATTCCAAGCGAAGGGTGAATGTTATGTCCTTAATGACTTTCCTAGACTGGGGAAGCGACCAATAGTCCTCATGTCATTGAACATGGAAGGCATTTGCCTTAAGCCAAGGGGAGGATGGTCTTTGATATTTAGTGTTCGAAGCAGTCTGAAAGAGGCCTTGGTAAGCCTAGGTGAAAAGTTTGGGTGACTGAGACTTGAGATCCATAAGAAGCACTCTTGTTTTCCTTGTACGAAAAACACAATTTTCATTTGTTTTGGTTTCACGAGCAATCATCCACCCTGGTAAGCATTTCCAAAAGAGAAAATCTTGGTGAGTGACCAAGTGTTTCAGCTTACTTTTGTGGGAAGCTACTTCTGAGACAACATAATTTAGTGAGAACTTACTCCTCTAGGAGCCAACTTAAACCCATAAATAATAACCGGTATTCTTAACTTCCTCTAATGTATTTGAGTACCATGTCTTTTTAGTTCTTGTTAAAAGGAAAAGAACTCTGACCGAGGTGACTAGTCCAGTACTGTTTCCTTGGGAAAGGAAGTCAATGACTATTTTTTTTATTGAAGGTAAGTGATTATATGTGCAAATGTGTGGCATGCGTGTGTATGCATATATCATTTAGCATTTGGCAAGCATATGCCCCATCAAAAATTCCTTGCCTGTAAAAATCGAGGAAGGGAATTAATGTCCTTATATAAGAATTCATTTTCGGTGTCAAAATTTTAAATTTCATTTGGGAGGAGTTCTCTTATTTGTTCCAAACCCCACTCTCTCCTCCATCCTATACTTCTCTCTCTCTCTCTCTCTACCTCCCCTCCCCTTGCCTCGCTTTTCCTTTTTTCTTTCTGTTTTATTAACTAGACATAGTGGGTATTAACGAAATCAATGCACAAAGCCTTGTGTGATGACGTCCATTCTGGAAAAGTTGCTGTTCAAAGTGACCACAGTTTTGAAGGATTCTATCAAATGAATCTTGCACACCATTTGAACATTGACATTTGAAATACATGATCAACAGTGAATTCATTACAAAAGAATCAAAGTCGTATGCTTTGAAAACTTTCAGAAAAAAAAAAAAACCATTTGTGGTTTTCCAACCCACCACAGTTTCATGAAAAAACCCCATTATGGAGGCTTCTCTCTGTGTGTGTGTTAAAACTTCTTGGCCCTAGTTTTCAATCTCACCAAAAATTTTAGAAACAAAAAGGAGCCAGCTAACCAACCTTACCATGGCAAAAAATTGTTCCTAACCATGGCTGCAATGCTAGGGTTCAATCTAGTATGGCTAGGGTTCAATCTAGCTATGGCAAGGATAGGGGAACTCGCCCCTCCATTGTCCTTGCACCTTTCCTTTGAATCATACAATAGTGGGGAGCATGGCTATGTGAAGATCTAGCTTGGTTCACTCAGACATTGTGGGGATGGGGAGCTTTCCTCTCTTTGTTAACTCAGGCATGGTGGGGATGGGGGAGCTTTTCCTCTATTCTGAAGAGAACAGTGTAAGTGCCAAGGCTTCCTTACCTCATTATGTATACATATATGGGGAGGGAGGGAGGGAGGGAGGGAGTTTCATGTGGGAAAAGGATATGGCAAACTGCATAAACAATTTGCGAACTCGCTCCCTCTTTCAGGTTTTGAAATTTTAGAGTGAAGAAACTTTCTGTTTGCCATTGACAAAATTACCATTAAAACATTTATTTGGGGTCTCTATTTCTAGTAAAACTACCTTTCACACCACTGTTTGAACGTCATCTATTGTTTTTTGAGGGACGAGAACCAAAGAATGTCTATGTATTGTTTTTTGAGGGATAAAAACAATAGAATGTGTGTTTGTGTGTGCACACATGCGTGCGTGTTTGTGTATGTGTTTTAGTCTATCTGTTTCTGTGTCTGTATGTCTGTGAGTTTGTTGCCATCCATGGGTTAGGTGTTCTTAGTACAATGGCAAATTGCATAGCAAGGAATAGCAAAAAATTATAGGTTTAGGAGCTCTCTCTACGACAAAAACAGAGGGGACCTTGTCGAGGAATATGGTAAAAATCGTTAGTAGTATATGGACGAAAGGGGTTGGTGTTTATGTGCTCTTCAAGATGTTGTGCGATCACTCGAGGTTCACTCAGTCGAGGCTGAAGTTGTACTGCAAAGGTGGAAAATATGGTTGAAGATGTGTGATAATCTTCAAGGTTGGGGTGTGGATTGGGACGCCCAAGCGATGGTGTTCTTGGAATCCCCTTCAACAATTAGGTGACATCCCTAGGTTTGGTCGGATCTTTTTAGGCCTTCTATGATTGCCATGAGTTTTATCATGATTTAGTCAATGATGCCTGTGATTCCTGAGAAGGAGAGTATGGTGTTACTTTGCTTGACTCTGAAGATCCCTTCGAAGCTACCACTAAACTTGCATCCCAAGCAAGGGCATGAAGTGAATGTTAGGAAAAATAGCTTGGATGATAGTTCTGAGTTCCCAAAGGAGTTCAGTCTCTTTGTCACTTACGGAATCACCGTGTCCCTCGAATATTGTTTCAATAATCCCACATCAATGGGTTAACTCATGTAGGAAGATGGAAGGATCTGAATTGTCCCCTACTCGTAGGGGTCTAGCTATGTTATATCTCATTGTTGCTTCTATATGTTACTTCTGATTCTATTGCCCCATGTTTTTGTTCAGATTAGTTTATTTTTCCACTTGAAAAGTTCTCAAGTGATTTCCTCAAAATTTTCATGTCAAAGGGATTTTTTGTTTGTGGCCTCCAAATTCTTGATGTGAAATCTAATACACTTGTTTGAGGTTCCATATTTGAAATTAACTAACCAATAAAAAATAGAGTAAATAAATAAACAAATATTTACCCAATAAATAAATGAATAAAATCTACCTATGCTTTTTTCTCTTTAAAAAAAAAAAAAATCTACCCATGTTTTGTTTGGGGTAGAAACCACTGGTCTACTTAACTAAGACAACTCCTCAAAAATCTTTTTAGGGATCCTTTCTGGTTGACAAAGAAACCAGTCGTGGTAAACAAGCTGGCCTATGGTTAAACTAACTCCTAAAGCAACTAACTGGCAATATATTGTTGGTAAATATGCTCAGATGCCTTCATCGATAAAACAAGAATTTGAAGATATTTTAGTTGGAGTAGCAAAATTCATGAGGAACCAAGTATCGTTTTGCCCTTTACCTAAACATCACCCATGTGGGGAAGAAATCATTAGAGATTCTCACTCAAAACTACAATCATCATTATCGTCATAGCCTTTTCCCAATTAACTGGGGTTGGCTACACGAATCTTAGTTCGTCATTCTTCTCTATTAAGTGCCACACCCTCAATGAGGCCATAAGTCCTCATATCTTTTTGGACTACTTTCAACCATGCCCCTTTGAGCCTATCCTTTGCTCTGTTCAAGGCTTCTACTTGAATTAACTTGTACCTCCTAACATGTGCTGTACTAGGTTTGTGCCAAACATGGCCAGCCCACTTAAGTCTACTGTTTCTCATCTTATCACATATTGGTGCCACACCTAAATTTTCCTGAATGGATTCATTTTGAATTCTAGCACTTCTTGTCTTGCCACTCATTCATCTCAACATCTCATCTTTGCTACACTCATTCTATGGGTATATTATTTTCTGTACACCTAACATTCCACCCCATAAAGCAAAGCTGGTCTGACAGTTATCCTATACAAGTTGCCCTTCAGCTTCATTGGTATGCGGCGATCACATAAAATTCTGATTGCATATCTCCAGTTCGTCTTCCCAACTTTAATTCTGTGTGCGACATCTTCCTCAATCTCTCCATTTTCTTGAATTATCGACCTAAGATATCAAAAGTGCGGTCTTTTTGATATTTCTTGGCCGTTAATCTTAACTACTTTCTCATCTCTACTCCTATTATTACTTAACTTGCATTCGATATATTTTGTCTTAGTCCAGCTACTTTTAAAAACCTTAAGATTCTAAAGCATCCTTCCAAAGTTCTAACTTTGTGTTGACGCCGTTTTAAGTTTCATTGGTCAAAACTATATCATCTCCGAGCAACATGCACCATGGTACCTCATCCTGTAGGTGCCTAATTAAGTCATCTATAATTAAGACAAAGAGCTACAGGCTCAAAGTTGACCCTTGATGTAGTTCTATTGTTATCGAAAACTCACTTGTTTCCCACTAGTTATTCATACACTAGTAAGCACTCCATCGTACATATCTCTCTCCAAGTTGATGTAGTGTTCGGAGACTCCTTTCTTTTCTAAGACCCACCAAATCACATCTTGAGGCACTCTATCATAAACTTTCTCTAGATCAATAAAGACCGTGTGGAGGTCTTTTCCATACGCCCTAAACTCCTCAATCAGTTGCCTAAGTAAGAAAATAGCCTCAGTTGTTGACCTGCATGGCATAAAATCAAATTGGTCCTCAGATGCACTTGTTTCGTGCCTTAGTCGTTGCTTAATCACTCTCTCCCAAAGCTTCATAGTACGACTCATAAGCTTGATTCCTCGATAGTTCGTGCAATTCTGTATGTCTTTTTTATTCTTGTACATAAGTACCACAATACGTTTTCTCTATTTGTCTGACATTTTCTTTGTTATCAACACCTTGTTGAACCGCTTCGTCATCCAATCAATGCCAATCTCCCCCATGCACTTTCAAGCCTCTATCAGGATCCATGTGGTCCTAAAGCCTTTCCTATCTTCATTCTTTTCAAAGCTTCTTTCACTTCCGATATCCTAATCCTATGTATGTATCTATGACCTCCGCCCTCTTTTATACCAATAGTTCTTTCTACTGTGCTCATCATTTAATAATTTTTGAAAATAAACTTTCCACCTTTCGTTTACCTCTTCATCCTTCACCAAGATCCTTTGAAACACTATCAACTGGGCCTGGACCCCACTTGCATTGCATGTTATGCTGAGGGTGTCTTTGTGTATCCATTGTAAAACAAGAGTGCTTTTCCCAAAGTCAGGAAATCCTTCTAGTTGTTTTGGCAAACCATTATATGTGCAAGATATCGTGTATCTGTTCTTTGCGACTTGGAAGATTCATTAGGTTGCTTCCTAAGATGGTGTTTTCTTGAGTCTTTCTTATTCTACAAAAAATTTATGGGACTTTCATGCAAGAATTATGCCTTATCCTCTCCAAATTATATACTATTATACTCTACGACATTAGATGCTAATAAAATTTTCTGAGCTCCGAGATCATTATAACTACACATTCTTTTTTGTTCTGTCTCATATAAGTGCATTTCTTACCTGTGTTGTGTAGTCAGGAAATCATTATAGTTTTATTCCTTAAGGTCTGATGACTTCTGCCTGATAAGATGCTCTTTTCCATTTTGCAGTGGATTTTATTAAGTATTTCAAGAGTGACAACCAAACAATGGACCATCCAAATGGTGTTAAAAAAGATGACACATCTAACAGTGTTGTTCCTTTGGATGGTTGTGATTCACTGGCAAAAGAGCAGCATATCCAATTTTCGAGAGATCTTAGTGTGGCAGGGAATACAATGTTTCCAGGTGATGTGGTGGACACTTCAAACACAGGACCTCTTGAAGAGTATGAGGGGCATGCTAATTGCACTCAGAGATGTCTTATGAATGATGCTGATGGAGTTTGTAGTTGTGAAGGTGAATTGGTCGAAAGGAACATTTCAGCTTCTGAAAGGCCATATCTATACCTTGCAATACAAAGTTCAAAATTGGAGTGCACTGATGAGCCAAGCCAAGTATCTGTGTCTCCGTATGTTGAAGACGACTGTGATGATGATGAAATTGACGACTTCGATCCATACTTATTCATAAAGAATTTACCTGAACTGTCAGTGGTGGTCCCCACTTTGCGGCCTATGCTGCTACCAAAACAAACACGGAGGTGTCCTCGTATCACTCTTGTTTTAGATTTGGATGGTGAGAAAATGTTTGTTCTCCTTGTATTAGTGTCTTTGAGTTTTTTCTTCAAAAGTATTTTTTTCTTGTACTTAATATCATGGTTAGAACTGGCACATATCATATTTTATGTCAATCTTTAATGGGATGGCTCTTTTGCTTCTTAGTTTTATC